TGACATTTCAGAGGAGTGTTAATGTTGCAGATGGCATTAAGGATGCTGATCATCTGACTTTAAAATGGGGAGATTCTTTACATTATCATGTTAGGCTCAATATCCTCACAAGGGTGCTCAGACAACAGAAGCAGCAGAGGCTAGAGATACGCAGTGTGAAAAGGGCTGGAGCCCAAACCACTGGCCTTGAATGTGGAGGAATGTGACCACAAAGCAAGGACAGCTGGCAGCCTATATAGAAGCTGGAAAACGTAAGGAAATGATTCTCCCCTCCAGCCTCCAGGCAGGAATGCAGCCTACCAACACCTTGATTTCATCCCAGGAAAATCCATGTCCAACTTCTAGGCTATAATAGAACTGTAAAAAATAAACTTGTGCTTTTTTAAACCACACCAAACTTGAGATCATTTGTTACAGCAGCAATAAGACACTAATACAAAATTCAATGATTAGATAACAGTCCCAAGAGAACTTTTAAAACTTTGTATTGAAATCTATGAAAAGAGAAAATATGTTGAAAGCAGAGAACTCAGTGAAGTTTTACACTTACCTCCTCTGCAAGCAACTTCTAGGCTGAGAAATACAACAATATAATCACTCTAGGAGCCTCCCTCATTTTCCCTTCTCATCACTCACAGTATGTTTTTAACTATACCCACTACCTGCGGGGTGATGTTATTTTTTTCTGCCCTACTTTAGGTAGTAAGAACTCATCTCCTTCCCCATGAACCATCACCATCTTCTTTTCTATTGTATATGCTGATGTTCAGTTCTCAACAACTGACTTGCTGACTTGTCCTACATTCTGTTTCAAATTTACCTTGGGTGAAACAATTTTAATACTTAGCACATCCTGGGAGAGAGAAAGAGAGAGAGAGGTGATTCTTATCAGAACCTTTCTTTTCTCCAAATTGAGATTTGTAGTATGCTGAAAGTATGCCAAGAAAAACCCAAAACTGCATGGAAAACTTCCAGCTGGATTTCTCTTCCAAGTCTATTTCTTCCCCTCATTCCAATTCAACAGAACTTCAGTTTTAATAGCTGGTTTGTTATTCACAATAAAATAATAGAGTTGACTGCAGAAATAAATTTTGTGGATTTTGTTGTTGTGTGAGCACGACTGCTTGGAAGGATCACTATAGCTGTCTCTGTTAAAATGCTTTTCCTTTCATCAGCTTCTTTAAAAATCGGGGAAAAGATTCAGCCAATCCTAAGCCGCCAGACCGACGCTGTCTCTCTGACTTAATCCAGGGCCAGAAGGGGGATAATTTGATTAAACTGAGACCCTAATTTATTTGGCTTTAGTCCTGGATCAACCTCTCCTTAACAGAGTGCTGTCGTCTCCAATTGTTTGATGAAAATTAAAGTGACATAAATACCATGGGACTCTTTCAATCTGATTAGTCAGTGAAGGAACATCAATACCACCCCAGCCATCACACTCTGGCGTCCTTCCTTTCACCGGTCTCGCTGGCAACTGACAAGCGCCCCTTGAAGGACCAGCACCCATGCCACTGTGGAGACCCCCACCCTCCACCCCTCATCCCTGCTCAATGAGCCCCATTGAGGTGCCCACACCTTTCTCCACTGGCGTTCTCCACACAAAGCTAAATATTGTTTTATTAGCAATCAATGGCTGTTAATCCAAAATGATTTCACAAATCCTCTGAGCTCTCAAGCTGATTATAAAAATGCATTTTTCCAAGCCCACTAAATTTTAAATTTCACTTCCCTCACCCTGATGCGTGGTCTTTTGGCTGGTGAATGGGAACTCAAAAGCAAAAGGGTCAACGGCTTTCAGGGACTTAGAAATCATACTGAGCAGGGTGCTGCTGACAGGCTGGGAGATAGCCACACACCCAGTCCTGCCTGGAGCGAGGGGCAGTCTAGTCAGAGAGAGGAGCCACCTTACAGTCTCATTAATTCCCTTTCTTCTCCAACAGCAAAAATAAAAAGCGATTGTATCCCAGAAACACAAGTTTTGAAACACTCTTAGTTCATAGGCCATACATTAAACAGGTGCAGGCTGTGTTTGGCCCTTAGGTGGTGGCTTGCAAATTCCTTTATTAAAAGAATATATTCTTAGAATCAGAAGCCATATGATTCTAGTGATGCCAAATAAATGCTGCAATGGATGCATTAATCACATTACATATCATCCATTCAACAGAATCTAAGAACTTGGGCTGCTAGAGCCTATACCTGATAGGTAAGGAAACTAATGAACAGGTAAAATCACATCAAACCATCCAGAGTCACTAACCAACTCCTTCTGATACTACAAAAATATGTGAAGCACATGTACTATTCTTTAATATTACTGTAAACATTATGTACTACAAACATGTATTAATAAAAGAAATTTTTAAAGGGAAATGCATTATTCAGAGTGTTACCTTTGAATTTTGCTTTTCACTCAAGCCCAATACTGATCTAATTTGTTTCATTTGTTTTGTTTTGTTTTTTAAGATAGGGTTTCACTATGTAGTCCAGGCTGGCCTCCAACTTGCAGCGATCCTCTGCCTCAGCCTCCCAAGTGCTGGTCTTACAGGTGTGTACCACATCTGGCTGTCAGTGCAGTTTTTGAATGGTTACTTTAACCTTCTCTAGCACATAGTTACCCACTAACGCAAGGTGAAGATCACAGGACTCCCGTGCAGGTGAAGAGGACTCATAGAGCCAGTGCTTCCCCAAAGCAGGCCCAACAAGAAGAGCAGGGTTGGCTGTACCAGATCTCCCAAGGAGCCTGCTAGAAACACAGATTTCAAGCTTCCAACCTCAGAGATTCTGATCCAGATGTGATTGGAGCCAAGACAGGGATCCACTGCACTAGTTAGACAACTATGGCCTGTAGGTATAAAGGCAAGTTTAGCATCTAACCAGCTATGGCTAAGGAAAATGGTTTTCTAAGCAACTGAAGGAAGCTAACAGACTCTTCACTGGCATCACTTCCAACAGAAATTTTGAGTAGACTGACCTTTATGAGTTGAATTGTATTCCCCTAAAATGCATATGTTGCAGTCATAACCCTTAGTACCAGAGAATGTAACCTTATTTTGAAACGGGATCACTGCAGACTCAATCGGTTATGAGGCGACTGTGATAAGTAGGGTGGCCCCTAATCCATTATGTCCTTATAAAAACGGACAACATGACATAGACGTGTGCACACTAGTATAGTGCCATGTGAAAAGACACAGAAAGATGGGGGCACCCAGAAGCCAAGGAGAGAGTCCTGAAACAGACCTTCTCGCACTGCCCTCGGAAGGATCCAACACCAATGACCCCTTTATGTTGGACTGCACCCTCCAGGATGGTTGTTTAAGCCATCCCATGCTACTTTGTAGCCCTAGGAACCTGATACTCTAAAGATCAGAGGGAAAGAAGCTGAGACCAAAACTCTGAATCTCTTCAAGTTTCTATACTGAAAAGGCAGGTTGCCGGTGTTCCAGTTATAAAACTGCCTGAATGGCATGTGTGAGGCTCACCACCAGCTTCTCAGTGGCTCTCTGATGATCTATGATGAAGTCTTCCACGGAGAGCACCACTGACCCAGAATTCCAGCGGACTCGGGCTTGGAATGCACATGCCCCTCCAAACAAGTGTCCTAACCTGACTTCTTATGAGTTATCACAGCCTCCAAATTTGATATGGTACCCAATCCAAATTAATTTTTTTGAAAAAAGGAAGGAGCTGGGGGTATAACTGAGTGCTAAGAGCACATGCCCAGCATGCAAGAGACCTTGGCTTCAATCCCCATGCTAAAGAAAAAAAGAAAGATGGTCTATCCAGATGGAATGTCAGCGTACTCTCTGCTTTGTACCATGACCCTCTTAAGGCCTTAAAATCCTAACTCATTTCTGAAGCTATCTGGCTTACTAATCTCCCCACTTATTATCTTTAACATTGCAAACAGAATTTACAGGTGAACGGAAGATGTTGAGTACCCTAAGAAGTGGGGAACCAAACCTATGTTTAAAAATATCCTGGAGAGTGAATTCCTCCGATAAAACTGCTCTGCACGATGAGAATGCAGGAAAACGATTCGGAGCTTTCCCTAGAGTACACTATGTTACTGGCCTTATGTCATGGAAATCAACTGCTCCATGCTTAATGCCTCTTGTTATTCTGCTGAGTCACCACCGAAACCAGGCAAGCGCTGGAGACAGTGAAGCCTGCAGCCTAGGAGAGCAAAAGTTTTCCATGCTTTTGGGGGGCACAGAGATCGTGACCTTCCCAGGGACAGAAAAGACTGCAAAGCAGGAATGTAACCCCTTCTAGAAGGAATAATGGGCCAATTCCTAGGAGAATCAAATGTCCCTATAATCCACAGTTCTCAGCACAGAGCTCAAAACCCAGCAGTGCTCCAGGATGGAACGCAGAGCTGCACAAAATATAGAAATATGTCTCAACTGAAAGCTAAATAGGATCGTCCTCTGGGTCGCCAAGGCATTCGGAGGAACACAGCTGAGTCTAACTACTGGGCTGGTGTAAGCCAGTACTTCTAATCAAATGAGCCCTAATGGTTCAGCTGCAGCGGGAACAGCTCACAAACCTTCAGTAAGTCCCCGTGGCAGAGTCATGGCCCTGCATATTAAACGGACACACTCAGCTCCAGCAAGTAAATCCTTCAGAGCAAGAACTGCAATCAAGGTATAAATTAAATCAGATCTATTCACACTTGCCCGAATCTACACTTTAAACCATGATTTTTAACTATATAATAAGCTATAATTTCTGAGAAGGGGTAACTCACTTAGAACACCATTAGAAAAGAAATAAAGTGTGTGCTTAAACAGCTTTGCGTCAGTAAGGTGAATCATCCCTGGGGTTGAATCACTGCTGAGGGCTGAGTCACCCCTGGGGGCTGGCGGAATCGTGCTTCCCTATTCGGATGATCTGTCCAGAAGTTTAAAAGTGTGGCGTGAAAAGAGTTTAAAGCCCATCACTCAAGTGAGAGAGAACACTTCAAGTTTAAAACACCAATATTGGCACTGATGATCGGTGATAAGGAAAGTTTACTGCCAAAAGCATGAGCCAGTGACATCCACACAGACATCACTGTCTTCTTAGTCAGGGGAAATTACAGTGATAGTAATATCGTGTAAATATTTATGATATACCTAGCGCTCAGGCCTGAATTTAGGATTAACCTGAAAGAAAGGAAGATTTATCAGTACCATTCAGAGTATAACATGAGGGCAGCAGATGAGATCTTAATCTGGAGACCCTCCCTTACATTTCAGACGGCTGTAGACACAGAAGAATAAGCCAGAAAGGAATCCCTGAAATTACTGGCCGGTACAAAGGCGGAAATGCATTTCTTCCTTACCGCTCCAGCTTTTGCTCTGGTGGTGCCCAGGCAACAAAATCCAACATCGTGACCTTGAAATGCAGAAGTGTAGTCATCCAGCTTCTCAAAGTCCACCACTTCTTGATTCTAAACAAGGCCATGGAGCATACATCTTCATGTTATTTAAGAAACACAGAACATCCTTCTAAATATTAAACTGTAGCTCTTTACTGACAAGTCTCACCACTTACCAGTTTCACAAATTCGTTTCCTCCCACCAAAACACAGTCTGAATTGGAAATCAGCAATATGTCCACCATACATATAATTAGGTGTGGGGTGATACAGATGTGTAAAATCAGGTTCAATTATAATTTACTTATGCAGTATCTGTAAAAAAGTAGTATCTGTAGCTTACCGGGAAAGAGACCACAAGACCCAGAAAATAGGCTATGAAGACCACCTAAAACCTGCATAGGCCTAAGCAAAGGTATCTGTGTTTAAAAAGTCCTATAGGCCAAAGACATAATCAAAATGTTGTGAACACAGACCTACGGGTGTCAAGAACACTTATTTGCAAGTCTGCTTATTATTTGGAATATTCTTCCTCTGAAACCTACTTCCTACCCAAATTCGGTAGTTGTGGTGTCTCAGAAACACACTATACTCAATTTTTTGCAATTTGTGGATAATTCAGTTTAGGGATTAGAATCTCCACGAGGCTGGGACCTCCAGGATATTTAGGAACTATCACCAGATGGAAGCCTGGGGTATCATATCGCTTGCTTGCCCGTGAAGGTGGAAATTAGGCAGAAGGTAATGTCCCTTTTAGGGACACAAGCCTCGGGTGCCAAGCAGGGCTTGCCGCTCCACAGAAGCACTTCCAGGTTCTCTGGCAGTACTCCTGAAGTGTGCAGGTAGACAAGGTAAGCCATAGCATCGAGAAAACCGCCATGGTCCTGAACAATCTCTAAACCTGCTGGTAGGACGTAAAAACAGCTCTTCGATCTGTCTCTGCAACTCCATGGCAACCTAGGTGGTGCTGCTTTATCCAACCCTGGTGGTGAGAGGAGGACTGCAAGCCAGGAGTCCGGCTTCTGGAAGTCTTCCAGGGATCAGTCATAGCCCTGCTTTCCCCACTGGCCCCGCAGTGTTCAACTTCTGCGTATGAAATATGTTCTCCTTCCAAAATCAAAACCAAAGCAGGTGATACATTTTTGAGTCCCAGCTAAAATACCCACCACGTTTTTATAAGCCTCCTCCTGGAAGGTGAGCTTCCTCCGGCCAATGAGCGTGACTTTGGGAAACAGGTTCTGTTCCAGAGTTTCTTTTAAGAGCGCTTTGCCAGTTTCCCCGCTGGCACCCAGGATGAGGACAGATTTATTTTGCATCCTGAAGTCTTCCCGAAGCTTCGGCAGCTGCTGGGTCTCGGCCATGCTAGATAAAGAACAGCGATGGCTGCAGGTCTTGATGCTAATGGACAGCCCTGTCCTTACCTGGGGAACAGGGCTGTTTATCATTTCTGGGAGGAGACAGTCACCTCCGAGGCGCCACCCAGGGAAAGTGCTGGGTCACCTGCCGGCGCCGCTGCGCCGCCGTGCGCTCACCTGAGCAGTTGCAGCGCCAAGAGCTCAGCTGGCCGCAGGGACCCGGCCGGGCCGGTGCTACACATCGCGGGGCTCTCCCCCGCGACACCCCAGCTCGGCACCCCGCTCGGAGGCCCCCGAGGGTTACCTGAGGTCAACCCCGGGCCCCGCGTCCTCCTGCCGCAGGAGGAGCAGCGCGCCCACCACCGCGACCGCCGCCGCGCCCAGCGCCACGGACCCCGGCATCCGCGGGCAGCGTCTTCCGGGCGACAGTGGCCTGAGCGCCGCACCCCGCCGGGAGGGGCGGGCCCGGAGCCGCACTTGGGGCGAGGGCCCCGCCCACGCAGGGGCGCGGAAGTGCGCGAGGGACGCGGGCGTGTGCTCGGGCGCTTGGCACATCGATGGCAGGGGTGGCTCCTAGGACACCCGGTTCCTAGTTGGCCGCACCCAGTCCCGGGAGCCTCCCTCTTCCTCCTCTCTGCTCCTAGTTTAGGAAGGCCGCAGCCAAAAGACGACCCCGCTTGACCTTCGTTGGTCCCCCGCAGTGTAATTCCCATTTTGTATTGAAAGACGTTTTCATTTCAAATTCAGCAGGTTAAAAAACGTCTCTTCCTGGCCAGCCACCCCATACAGGAATGCAATAAAACCTGTGCCTTTTTTTTTTTTTCTTGTTCCCTTCTGAGATGTCATTGAGCCCCCCCCCCTTACACACACACACACACACACACACACACACAAACCTCCACTCTCCTCTGAAATCAGAAAACATCCTATCGCTTTTGGGCATCTTTCTCCTAGCCTTTCTGTGTCCTGGTTGATCCCCAAGGCCTGTCATCCTCTCTGCCTTCTGTACCTCTCTGCTATAATGCAGGCTTTCTGAGTCTCACCGGTATAGCAGGTTTCCCTTCTAGATGGGTGGGCCAGGTGACCTTCCGTACCTAATGTGCAGTTCTCTCAGGGGTTCAGAAAAGAACTCCTACACTGGGCCTGTCCTGGATCTTGGAAGCTCCAGGCAGGGTTCAACACGACAAGCAAGAATCTGAACACAGACTGTGCTGTGAGATTGGTCCTCTCCGGACCCCACCTCCCAGTCCAGAAACCAAAGGCTCTTGGGGAATTATTCCAGGTAGGCCTGACCTGGCTCCTGCCTCAGATGTTTCCACACAGGGTTTACACTGTGGGGGTGCAATAAAGCCTGAGCTGGACTCCCCCAAGGTGGGGCAATAATGGGGAATGATGACATCCTGTTCCCACCAATGACCTGATGGTGTCATCGTGCCTGTGTTTTGCCCCTTAATTTCTGCCTGCCTTGAGAGCCTATTCTGGACACTTTGTTAGTATGCCAATAAATGTTCTCTCTGCTTACGCCAACCGGATCCATTCTGCTGCTTGCAATAGAAAACCTTCACAATACGAAGCAAAGTGGAGTCCCCACTGACCTGTCATAGGGCACAGGCTCTTGCACTTATGCTTCAGAAAGCTCTTTTACCAAAACTCCACACTAACCCTTGTCAGCTAAGCCTATTGAATCGGTCACAGAGCTTGTAATTATGCCCTAATGTCCATTCTCCCCTTCTTCCTTTTAAAAAATTGTGGCATAATTAATCTAGAATAAAGACACAGATTCTAAAGATTCACTTCCATGAATTTAGAAAATTGGATATACACTAGGTGCAATCACCAAAAACAAGATATAAAATATCCTGGTCCAGCTTAGGAGGACCCCAGCCAAAAGACAACCCACCTTGACCTTCATTGGTCCCCCAAAGTCTTTTACCCCAGAAAGTGCCTTTGTTCCTCTGTCAGTAGCCCCTCTCCACCCCAGAGCCAACCTCTTTCTGATTATTATCCACAGAAGTCAGTTTTGCCTGTTCTACACCTTCATTTAAATGTATCATCCAGCATGTAGTCTGTTGTATCGTATTTTGCTCAATCTGCATTTTTAATATTCATCCTTATTGTTTGCAGGTCTGCATTGTGAGTTCTGAGGGCTCTGAACACTTTGTGGGCCCCTTATTTCCATTTAAAAAGTGGATATATGAAAAATTGTATCTTATGACTGTGTTTCTATAAAGGTGAACATATCAATATTATATAATGACCGTTTTGTTTTTTTTTACTCTACAAGTTCATTTCCATTGGCCAAACGGATCAGCCAAACATCCCACAGCACATTCAAACACTTTTCTGTTGGTGGGCATTAGGTTTGTTTTCAGTTTGGGGCTATTATGAGAAGGTTCCTGTGAATACTTTTGTACCAGTCTTTCTGTGGATGTAGGTAGTTAATGCTCTTAGGTAAATACCCAGGGCAGGAGTGATCATCGATGTCTCCAGGCCTGACTTAGTAGGTGAACGTACCATCGCATACTCCCATCTACTTGACAGCATCAGTCTTTTAATTTTGGCCAAATTTTAGTCCAAGCTCCAATTTCCGCACTTGTGACCCTCCTGTCTCAGCTTCCGAGAGTGCCAGGATTATAGGCATGTACCACCACAACTTGCATCACATTTTTGTAAGTCATCTATCTGCTTTCCTGTCACTCCAACCTTTCTCTTTTCCACAGGTTAGAATGTGAATATGGGCCTCGTGAATCAGCCTGATCACAAGGAAAGAAATACCCTAGAGGACAGCAGATCAAGAAGTTGGAAGCTGAGTCTCTGGATGATTTTATGGAGCAGAGCTATGCACCCCACCCTGGACCAAGTGGAGACAAAAATAACTCTGACCGTCTTGGCACCACTGCAGTTTTGCTAAAGCAACTTAGCCAGCACTTTGCGAAATGTAAGACCTTTTACACTATCTTGTCAATCGATATATATTGGTTAATAAGGCAGGTTCATACCATGCTATGCAATATAACTATTTTCTCAAGGTGGGTATTCACTGTTTACATATTGTAGGTAGATACTGTGCTGAGCAGTGTAGGTTTTTTTTTCCCCCAAAGATGAATCAGATACCAGATACAGTCACTCTCCCCTGGGAAGGTAAGTTGTAGATACTTGGAAAGCTAAATGAAAATACCCATTAAGCAGTACTGTAACACATCCCCAGAATGTTTCTGGGAGAATATCTCATGCTAAACACCAAGCGGGTACACAGGAAAGAAATGGGAAATCAGGGACCAAGACAGGCCCAGGGCTTTCCTTCTGTAATAGTTGGCACTTTCTTATCAAGGTGCTGAGATACTGGGGCACGACCCAGGTTACTAGCGCAACAGGGCCATAAAAATTCAGGGAAAGGGGAAGGAAAAAGCAGAAGGAAGGAAGAAAGGTAAGGGGACATGAGGGAGCTGAGATAGCACAGGAAGATCCCAGGTATATAGGATTCACAAGGTAGGCTTTCAGTGGTCTCCTGGAGGGTCAGGTGTGGTAGAACGCAGAAGGGTTGTCTGCACACTGGAGAGCTGAAGAATCTAAGCAAAAGTGGAAGGCCTGGCGTTCATACAGAGTTCTGTGTGAATCTGTATCAGGGAGCCAAAAGGTCCATCCAGGGAGGTTGCAGAGCATGCACTGGAAGGCTGGAGATGGACGTCCATAGTGACAAAGACGGGTGTTCCTCTGAAGAAACAAAAGTGAGACTTCCTTCTTCTTTCCCTTTTTATTCCATCCAGGATACAGCCCTATCCGTTGGTGGCTCCCAAAGTGGAAAGGGGTCTTCCCTCTTCAGTAAGTTGATGATCCAGACACAGCCAGCACTGTATGGAACCAATCAGCAAGGCCTTTATTATTCAAGTTGACACCACAGGTATCATACTGGGCCAAAAGGCCTGCCCAAGAAGGGCAGGTTTGACAAGACCTCTGACTTTCGTGAAATCTCTGTGGGTATCTTGGCTTTCAATTTCCTATTGGTAAAACATGAACTGGTTTATTACATTCATTTTGCTCCAAGGCACAGAGACAGGTTAACTTGAGTAAGGACAGCAAATATTGTAAGGACACTTCTACTATGTAAAAGGACGAATCTTGGAGAAATCTGAAGTTCAGGATCTGATGTAGGATGAAGCCTTATTATTATGGACATCTAGATAAGAGAGAAATTAATGCACAGTCAGAGAAGCTTTGGGCCCTGAAGGAAGCCAGCGCAAGAAAACAAAGACATCAGAATTGTGGCTGGAGACAAATCTAAAGAGAGCAAGACCTGAGGATGGAGACGTAAAGGCCAGGCTTGCAGCCTCCATAAGAGCTAAAGAGCAACTTGAGGTTATATTTGAGGTAACTGGCACCTCCTGGTCCAATAAGTCCAGATAGGCCTCACATGCCCAAGTAGGTGACCGGAACATCTAGTCCCATCCCTTCCCTAGAATGGCTTGGTTCCTCCCATATATCCTTGCTGCATGACTCATTTCCCTAGTGGACCAATATTAGCTAAATGGCAGTATTTGCAACCCTGTACGTTGATTGTAGTTTGACCCATGTTATACCTACATTGTGACTGTGCTGTATAAATTACCCCAGCAAAGGACTTTGGTGGCTACCCCATATTGGACCCCTCCTAAACACCCAGGAGCTGTTTTTCTTCTCGTTTCCAATATAACTCTTCTATCTCCTACCTTTGGTTCTTTACTTCATTCCTCAATATTGTGCAACCATAAACCCTGCTCATTTGACATCCAACAGGTCAGAAGTTACATTTCTCCTATATCCTGTATTTAGGTTGTGTTTAGAGTCCTCGGGATCAGGGATCCATGTGTCTTCACTTTAGAGCTACATTTTTTGTTATACTTTAAGACGTTTTTGGTTTCTGCGACTGAAACTCCAACTCAAAATGTCCTGGGTACAAAACAGCCGGGCAGAGTGTGTGTACAGCTTTGGGCATGAGCAGAGTCAAGCAGTCAGCCAGTGAGCCCATGAGCCCAGACCTCAGCCTTCCTTCTCTGAATCCTGTCTTTCTTCCTGACAGTTCTGCTCTCAGAGCTTAGAGGGTAAGGCTTTGAGGCTGTGTGCAGTACAGACCTTTGCCCACTGTGTACTCAGGATCAGATGTAGGAAAGATAAGGCAGGAACTGTGTCACCTGAGGAAAGCAGGCTAAGTGAAGCACGGGTGTGGGGACAGGCAGCTGTCTCAGGAGAGCCGAGGTCCTCTGTGGAACACAGCCAACTTGCAGCACTGGATCAGTCCTTTTCCATCGCTGTTACACTATACCTGAACCTGAGTACTTTATAAAGGCAGTGGATTTATTTAGCCCACTGTTTTGCAGGCATGACATCTAAACAGCAATGACAGGCTCTGGGAAGGGCCTTAAATGCCCAGCATCTGGGTGAACACATGGGAGAGGAAGAGACCAAATGGTAATGAGCTAGGATAGAAGAAATAAAATTGGGCAAAAAGGTGACAAGGAAAATCAGAGTTAAAGAAATGAAAACTGCAGCTAGTTTAGCTGCTGCTTCTCCTTCTCCTCTGCTTCTTCCTTCTCAATCTTTTCCTCCTTCTCCTCCTCCTTCTTTCTTTCTCTTCTCCCAGAACATAAGCCTGGGAAATTCCCTTTCACCTACCTTTTCCACCTGTAAATTAGGATTTTCTATATGAATACACTATTATCTTACTATAGTCCATCCGTCCTCTCCCACCCTGTAGGCCAGCCTATGACCATAGACTGTCAAATTCCACAGATTCCCAATAGCCAAAACACATAAAGACTCCCAGCTCTCAACCACAGTGTGACTCATTTCAGAGTGCAGCTCAGTTTTGAGTACATCCTAAAATTTCTACCACATAAACCCTTCCTGTGCCTCCAACTGATGTGTCCTGAAAGTTCTTTTTCTGAGAGGGGAGTCAGCAAATCTGCAGACTTATTGTACAAAAGGTTGGGATAGGATCCTTATTTCAGCCTTGGGGACCTCTGGGACCTAGTCCAGTGACAGTGACACAGGAAGCCAGAAAGCAGGCAGGGGCCAGTCTTCTCTTTTATAAGAAGTTCCTTCTTGGTAACTCGCAAGTGGTATTCCCTAAAAGCTATATTAACCCCTCCCTTGGATGGATGGCTCCCCCAGTGACCTAAGGACTTCCTGCTAGGTTCTGCTTCTTGAAGGGCCCACACTGGGAGCCAAGCTCCCACCCCAGGAAGCATTAGGGGAGGTATAAACCGTACTACTCACACAGGACGAGCCAGGGCACTGATACCTGGGCTCACTCTGCCTCCTCCCTGCGACTCTCCTCGTGCTGGTGCTTCCCAGTGCTGGATTCAGCTGAGAGCCAGGAAGAAAGGAGAAGGGATGTTAAATGGCATCCAGGGTCGCCAGACTCTGTCCCCATTTATTAATCCATTTACTCAAGAATATGTCTGCTGGATAGATTTTTGCAAAGGAGAGCTATCAGTGTAGCACGACTAAGATATCTGTTCGGACAAGAGAAGTTGAATTTGGTAGAGGCAGGTGTCTGGGAAAAGATACAGTCATTTTCCCTTCTCGCAGCACAAATTCGACCATGAGTTGCATTCAGCAGCTGATGTTGTTGACTGCGTGTCCATAGTGTGCTGTCCACCGTAATTAGTGTCCATTTGGAAAGCTATGGGAGCGAGGAGCCATTTGCTCATGTGACATGGCTCCTGCCTCTGTGCTAGTTCTCCCATTTTCTAGAGGAAGGAACTAAGTCACGGGTCTGTTAAACAGGTGATCTAAGATCACAGAGTTAAACTTGAGTGCCCAGGACAAGAACTTGGGCACCAAGATCAATGTAAAAAATCATTAGCAAGATCTGCAAAATTCTAGATTCTTTCTTAGGGCAGATATAGATATAGATATAGATATAGATATAGATATATGATATAGATATATTTGCTCTATCATTTGGGTCCCCGAGCACTTCTGAGTATGTCCTCACTGATGATCACTGAGGGACAAATCACTGTGGTGGCTAAGGTTGGAATAAAGCACTGTCCTGAAATTCAGGGTGGGAAGCCTTGGCCAGGGGTCAGAAAGAGGAGACTGGAGAGCCAGGTGGGGACCTAAGGAAATAGGTGCTCATTCGCAGTGATCATTTAATTTTAACTTTTTAAGAAAACAAGGAAATAGTTTATTCTGGGCCAAATCTAAGCAATCACAGTCCAGGATAAGTTTAATTTTTTAAATCTAGTAAACGTGATATTTTTCATAGTGTTTTAATGATTTTCTTCCGTTGAAGGTAGCGAGGTGTTATCCTAATTATTATTAAGACATTTATCAGTACTCGTCATGAATACATTGAATAGTGTTTCCGGGCTTGGGGTGAGGTTCAGTAGTTCAGCAATTGTCCAGTATGTGAGTTCCTGGGTTCAATCCCCAGGACCACCAAGGAAATAATTAAAGTTTATGAGTGTGAGGGAAAACATTACAATGCACTAGGTGCAGGGGAGGGTAGAGTGCACCTGTGCTGTGACAGTTCACCGAGGTAGAATCAGAATGAGTCACGTCTGAGGGACCCTGGTGAGCTGGGCACATTGCATTGCCCCTCCAGATCCACTTTCTAGGCCTCCAGCCTCTTCTGAGACCCCACCGCTGTGTCCACAGCCCGTACAGCCCCATCTCCCTGTCCTCTGGCTTAGGGTCGGGTTTGCCGAGGGCTGGAGCTGGCAGGTGTGTGAGGGGAGGGTCTGTCTCCCACCAGCCTCACCCTTCTGTACAGGCTCATTGTGGGGGGGTCCTCCCAAAAGCCACACCACTGAGACAGTCATCCCTCATGGCCAGAGGGTCTCTCTCCAGGTTCCAGTACCCACCGTCTCACCCTCACCCTCAGCCCCAGCTGTGACAGTTGCCTCTCTTCTGCTGGCTTTTGGACACAGCACTGTGTCTGGATGGGTTTTCCCACACCCTCCTAAATCACCTCTTATTTAACTGCTACCCAGTTTGAACACGTTTTCTGTGTCCTGCCAGAACCCTGACCCACATACCCGATATGGGAGGCAGGAGTAGGTTTGAACCCTGGCCAGCTGAGGGACCTTGGGCAAGTCCAATAACCATTGGCCCAAGAGTCTGCTCCGAGAGGCTCCAGGCACCACATCCAGGGCACACAGCCCGGCTCCAGAGGGAGTGTTTGGTACCCGTAGGTGTCAAAGGAAAATATCTTCGTGGTTGGACTTCTCCAGGCTCGTCCAAGAAGCTGAGAAGGAGAGCAAGAGGGCCGCTTGTCAAATATTGAGACTTCACAGAGGACACCCAAGGACGTGGCATAACTTGGGATGCAGTGGGCCCCAGACATGCTCTTCACGGAGACAGCACAGGGAAAAAAGAGAGAAAACCCAGAGGAACCCTGCCCTCCTGCTCCGCCCGGGTCCTTGGGAGTCTCATCTTCTCTCCCAGTACCACCTGCCTCAAACACATTCCCCTTCTCCACATGTGCTGCTTTTTAGAAAGCTAAAGCTTTAAACAAATAATAAATGAAGCTTTGAAAATAGAAAGCTTCCTGGGCTTTCGCTAGACCTACTGGACCAGAAGCAGCAGGTTTTGAAGCTCCTCCGATTTGTGGCCCGGTTAAAAGAGATGGTTACTGTGAAAGGAATGTCATTAGGATCATCATGGTCGCCATTATCATCATCATCATCATCATCACATCCACATGGAGAATAACAGTCTTCTCTAAAGGGAGACTGCATAGTGGCTGAAAGCAGACTGGTTTTCCGCTCTACGGCTTTTTTTTTTCTTGCAGTGCTATGGATCCATCCCATGGCCTTGCACATGCTGGGCAAGCGCTGTACCACCGAGCTACGCTACCTTTTTCTAAGGTAAGGTCTCACTAAATGCTCAAGCTGTCTTTGAACTCAAAATCCTTCTGCCTCAGCCTCCTGAGTCACCTGGATGACAGTGAGCACCACCATGCCCAGCCTTCTCCTACTTAATAAATCCTTAGCGAACACTTAAAACATACCAAATGCTGTTACTACTTCATGTCGATTAAGTCACTGGATACTTGTGACATCCTTATGAAACAGGAATGGTGACTATGGCAGACTCAGAGCTCTCTGCAAGCCACCCAGTTAGGAAGCGGAGTATCCAGGATCCAAACTTCAGTCTCGATGGTCTCAAAGCTATAGTGTCTCCAAGCATGTTATTCCTCGAAAGCCGCAGTTTCCTTACCTGGGATAGGGAAACTGGGACATTGCTTACTCCACAGGGGACTTACGAAAATGACTGAGATTTGGCACGTGAAGCACTCGGCCATGTGTTAAGTCCATGCTGATCACTAACTGAAAGACCACCCATTATTAGTGATTTCAGTATCATTTATTATTCAGCTTCCTCGAAATACATCGTAAGTTCCAGCTGAGGTCTAGCTAAGACTGAGAGCCTGTGTATAGCAGTGCTGGGAGAGGAGACCTGGAAGCTACTCGCCTGCCTCTGAGGAGCGTCCTGGGAGACAATGTATCTGCCCAAAAGAAAGACCCATGCACGGCGAGTGTCACGGTGAGTGTCACCCAGTGAGAAAGATTTGCTCATCAGAAGGAAGGGTGCTTCAAAGACAATGCAGAGCATTCTGATTTGTGCCTATACTCCCAGCACTCTGGGACGCTGAGGCAGGAAGATGCAACCCGAGCAATTTAGGGACTTAGTGAGACCCTGACTCAAAAACAAAACAAAACAAAAAATAGGCAAGGGGCATGTCACTTACATTTACCCCCTGAGCCTCCAGGAGTTTCCGGTGTCCTGCGTAGGAGGCCCATTGTGCGCACAGGGACTGTTTCACTATGGAAAAACTAAAAGGCTGATTTCACTAAGGAGCAGTCGTGAAGCTCAGCAAACTGTTGACCGTCTAGGGGCTCTGTGAAGAGAGTGCCTTCCAAGAAAGGACAAGTGCAAGGACAGGCGGAGGCAGGCAGGTGGAGGCAGGCTTGCCTAATAACACAAGCGCACACGCTTCCAGAAAGCACCTCAAGGAGTGCATTTTCCAGGTTGTTTGAATGTCAGTAGCTGGAGCAGAGGAAAATTCAGACTGATGAGTTAACTATAGCCTAGCAAAGACCAGGGAAACGCAGACTGTAGAATATTTCACAATTCCGAGCGGTGGTTGATGTTCACAAAAGAAAAACAACTTCATTCTGGAAGGGTGTGCAGTCTGTGTGCGCGCGCGCGCCTCCACACTGCAGAAAATAAATCCCGATCTCGGTTCACGTGCACCCCACTCCGGGCAGCATCTGGGATCTTCATCAGTTACAGCTACAAAACACAAGAGGGCGCCAGAGAAGACCGAAATGTATTTTCCCGGGAACCACTGGGTGTTGGCAAGTCCCTTCTGATCTTTCTTTCCGAGGACGCTTTTACTTCTCTTGATTATTAGAGAATGGAATGACTATGTGTGTAAATTTATTGGCTTATATTTTCCATAACGGGCAGGGTAGTTTACAAATGAGATAACTAAAGTAAGCAATGTGGAAGGGTGCAGCAAATAAATGAGACGGCTAGTAATGAATTGATTCGTTTATCAAGCATTCATTGGTTGCTTTCTGTGTGCCTGGTAATGTGTAGATGCTGTGGAGAGACAAACAGGGGAAACCACAATCCTCCATTGAACCCAAAGAGTAATAATCAGAAGTGAAAATTTTCATACAGCTTTTTTTCTGTTTGAAATTCTCTTTATACTCTCGCGATCTGCTTGCCCATCAAACTGTTGAAAGAAGTAGGTATGACATGTTAGAACAAAGGCTTTGGAGTAAGTCAGCTGGGTGCAACTCTCAGTTCTACCACTTTCTCCTTGTGCGCTAGTTTCCTTATCTGTAAAATAGGATGGCGTAGCTTCTGTCTCACTGGATGCTGTGAAGATTAAATGAGGCGATCTATGCAGAGAGCTTGGAGTCAAGTTCTATTTAAGAGCTTGGTCTCTATTAGTTCTTGTTCAATATGATCCACACTCAGGTTCAAACAACCCCAGAGCTGGAGAGGGAGTCATATTAATGTCATCCTGAGAGCAGAGCACTCTGCCACTGGGTAGCCACACACACATGGAGAAGTGTCCTCACCTCCCAAGGGCTGTCAGGGGAGCAAAGGGCTGCACCTTCCCAAGCTGTGGACAGAACTGAGGTGGTGCCTGCCTACAGCTCTCAGGAGCACACAGTCAGGACTCAGTCCTTCCAGGCTGTGGTGCAGTCAAAAACAATAGACTCCAGCAAACTATAAACCCTCCACTTTGTGCACATGTTGCTTCCAATTTTACAATCATCTTTCTTACCAAACCAAACCAGTGATTCAAAGACGATGAGAACTTCAGAGATGATGAACACAGTACTTACTTGAAGGAAGCTACATGCCTCATGCCTTAAGCTTAGAGCAGCCCCTACAGACGAGGAGCTTGGAAAGTCACCCAGGGCATGGCTTCTCCCTTGCAGGGTGCAGGGAAGGAGTCTGGAGGCAGACAACGCGGAGGAAGACAGGCCACTTCCCTTGATGCTACAAGTGCCTCTTAGCTATGATACACATGCTACATCAGTAAAATGAATCAGACACAAAAGATTAACTGCAGTGGCAGTTTCTCTTATATGAGAAACCCCAAGAATACATGATGTAGAGAGGAAATTAGAAGACAGCAGGAAACAGAGACCTTTTGCAGATGGGAAGGGCACCTTGAGGTGGAGGGAGAGGAGGGGAAGTGGAAGTACAAAGGATTAAGGCATGACGTATACAATTACCGACTTCTCACAAGGAACGTATTCATTATGTATAGCAAATATGTACCAATTTAAAAAAGAAGAGTTAAGAAATACAGTTTCTTTCCTGGTTGAAAAGAAGGTTTTCTTAAATACTATAGGAAGTTTGGGAATACCTAACATACAATCTTCTATTAAATCATATGTATTTTATTAAAAATTCCCACAGATTTTGTACTCCTCTCTGTCATCCCTGAGTGTGTATTTTTACATAAATTAGTGTCAGCGGTTACAGTGGACGGGTGTTGAGTTTTACTACCCAGCTTCTCCTCACACCCTCCTGGAGACCCAGCCCTTCCCACACCATGGACTGCACCTTCAGCACCCTGGTGTGGGACCTGACTCACTCACAGCCACTCTGGATGTGTCTTCCCCCACCACAGCAACCGCTTCATGGTTAGGACCATGGTTCAATCAGGGCTCGTGACACATAGTTGCTGAATTTGGCCTGTGACTATTGAAGAAAGAAGTATGCTGTCTTTCCCACTGGACCTGGATCCATGGGCATCTTTGTCTATGTAGAGTAGGAAGATTTCTTTTCCTTCTACCCTTCTAAGTTCTCAGTTGGACCCAATGTGAAAAGGACATTTACAAGAGAAAGACACAGAAATTTGCAGCATATACTTATGTGAGATGCAAGCCTTAGTAAGGAAACAAAGACCAAAACAGTGGCAAAACTTGAAGCGTGTGAGCCAAGCGTAATAGTGGGGAAGCTCACCAAGGCCTTCGCTCCTCCTGCTCGGCATGCCTCCGTCTCCGGAGACAATGATTCTCCCTTCCTTGAGGTATGAGAAGCGGGGTGGGAAGAAGGGAGGGAGGGAGGGAATTGGGTCCTAAGGCATTGTTTGATAGAACTATGCAGGTCAATAAATTTTTTTGTTTCAGTTACTTCCAACAGAAAGAACTCTAACTGATACAGTAAGGATACTTAATAATTCACTACCTTGTGTCAGTTATGGTGCCAGGTGCTTGTCATATCTTAGGTTTATCTTTTAACCCTCATAACAGCTCTATGAGGTAGAAATGAGGTTATTACTAATATTTTGGGGAAATGCAGTCTAATACACATTATGTAACATGTCGAAGATTACACAACTTGTAAATAAGGTGCGTGTGCACCTTAAATGGTAGTTGTGTCAACTCCACCCTTAAATGAGCCTGTTTCTCTCAAGCTGTACAGCAGCATTCCATGAGCATGTGGCTTATGCGCCAAAGTGGAGAGTGACTGTCTTCAAAGATGGGGCTTTCTCACTCAACTGTTTACTAGATCTGCAGCCTTGAGCAAATCTCTGCGTGTCACTGTCTCCATGTCTCAGGTATAAAAGAGAAAGAATAGTTTGGAAGCATTTATCTCACAGCTTTTCAAGATCAAACTATATAGTAATAGAAAGCTGGAAAAACCAAGCATGACTTTAAGCACACACTGGGTTCATGCCATGTATGAGTAGAAGAAGTTAAAAACCTCATTTCGACGACTGAATTCCTTCTATTGATTGGCTGGGTGGGTAACACAAGATTTGGTGGGAAGTGCATTAAAAGCAATTTAGTCAAATATGATTTGGAAGAAAGCAATTTGGTTGAATTTTAGCTACCAATTTGGTGGAAATAAGTTTGACAGACAGTTTTCTCGGTTAATGGTTTTACCAAAAGTGATTAGTTTGATTTACTATGGCAATAGTCTTTTTACCTAGTTTAGCACTTATGTCATTTTGAAAAATTCCTGGTTTTTTTTTTTTTTTTTTTTCTTTTTCCTGTTTATGTCACTTAAAGGACACCTTCGAGTTGGATTTCTCATCCCTTTGGCCATTTGTCAATCCTGGATCCTTCTGAGGAGATCTGATTAACATCAGTAACTAGAAGTTCATAGCTGAGTGCTTATAAACATTGATTACGGGGACTGAGTCAACTTCTTGGCTTGGTCAGTGTTGCAGTGTCCCTTTCAAACATTTGAGTTCTTGGAAACTGGCAG